TAAAATTTACCTTCTCGTTCTTTTTGCTTTCTTTTTTCTATCAAATGATAAATCTATAACATTAATGTTTCTTTTTAGTTGTCTTGTCGTTGAAGATGATGATGATGATTGTTTTCATTTAAACCACGATCATCTACTTATATTGTGATGGATGATGATAAAGAACTTGTCGAATTAGATGACATCGTAACTAGTTCACTAGTCGACGGCACAAAATTGGATGATAATGTTGGATTTGTTGCTGCAGTTGAAACTGATGATGATTATTGATTATGTTAACGACTGGTAACTGCTGGTTTTTAATTAATTCTTCGATTTTTCTACAAGTAATACCACTACGTGAACCTTGTAAACGCCTGTAAAAATTTGAAATTTACTACGATTTATTGTTAATGATATCATTTTACCGCATCAACATTTTATTTTACCCATGATTGTATCACTTGGACGATTCAAGATAGAGATAAAAAAATGTTGACCTTCAATGAACAAAATTGTGAAGAATCAATATTTGACTTATTATTTTCCCACCAGAAATTTATTGAGTCCACTATATTTTTTTTATGTTCATTATTTGACAAATTTGAATGTTTAATTGTTGAAGTTTCTGATAGATCACTCAAAGGAATATCAGATACTAATTTTGTTCCTGTTGAGGATGCTACTGTTGTTCTATTTAATGATGATGATGATTGAATATTTTTCGAAGATTTCGCACGTTTTGCATCTTCAACACATTTAAGTTTCAGCAAATGAATAAGATAATCAACATCTCCTCTTATACCTGGTTTTACAACATATGTATCGTCATCTTGTAAATAACCAATTTTCTTTTTTAGGTATTCTAAACTTTTGCGTTTAATATTCATAATAGAGAAAATGTCTGATGTCATCAATAATGATCATAGCAAATCGAGTCGATTTTCTTGGGGGTAGCTTACAAGAAAACAGTATACATCATTCGATTCAAAATTCTATAAGGATTCCAAATCTGCTACCTTCTTTCCTGGACAACTCTTAATTTTTGAGAAAAGAACGAAAAACTAGTTTACATTGACGACAGTAGCGCCTTTTTTTTCTTTTCTGTCATTTCTTCTTCACTTGTGAATATATTCTTTTTCCTTTGATGTCTCTTATTTTTATATATTCACGGGATAAACAGACAGAGCAAAAAAGCAAATAGCCATATATATTCAGTATTGAACACTTATTTCTACAGTTTGATTTAATGTTCATTTACTTTTCAAAGCAAGAAAATCTCACTATGAATTTAATTCGTAACTCGTTAACATGAAGAAATACAATATCATTAATTAGAACCTACGCATCTTTATTTTCATGCAAACTTCAAGCATATAAGTTTTGTCACTCTGCTGAGGAGTTTTTCAATAAAAAACACCAAAGTTTATTGGCATATCAAACTGCCTATATTATGTTAAAGTCAGGTATTAAAATATACTCTTTATTTTCAATTCAGTAAGCTACACAATTAGTTATGGAAAGAAGTCTTAAATTTGATGTCGGATGTTAATGCTCAATTTTGAAACAACATTTTTTGATGACTTCTCCCTGTTTTCTTTGGGCTATACCAGCTTAGTTTTACAAACGATCTTTATTAATATCTTCTTTTGAAAAGCAAATTCACGAAAAAGATGAAAGAAACAAATTTTAATTAAATCACACATACAGATGTTGAGTATCTTCTTTGAAAAAAAATAGTTTATATAGTGATGATAGTATACACATATTTAAGGAAAATTATTGAAGATAAAAACTGTTTCTTATCCGTATTCATTCCAATATGTAACGTTTACAACTTGTTTCACCTGTTAATCATGGATGTAAACTTGTATGTGCGATACGTGATTGTACCCAGGTTGAGCACTACGGTTACGAGAAACGGCCGTAACTGCGCCGTATTTCCATGTACCGTATTACGACCGTATTTCGCCGTGTCGTATACGGCGTAATACGGCGGTCGTGTACGGCCGTATTCGGCCGTGAATTCACCGTTCTGAGACTTTTTGAGACTCATTGAGATTTTTTGAGACTTATTGAGACTTTTGAGGACCCAGAGAAAAAGACGTTTCGAAAATTTTTTGAGAGGTTTTTGGGCCGGAAGAGAACACCTTATAATAGTGTGAAACAGTTGAAAAAAGACTCGACGGGAAGCAGTCTGGCACCTTGCGAGACTTCTTTGGAGTTCTTCTGAAGATTGCGAATAGGTACGAAACATTCTATTTGAGTGCTGTGAAGACTTTTCTTGTGAGATTTGCTAGCGCGCAAAAGCTTGAAAAAATGTCGTTTTCTAGATTTCACAGACTTTTTCCAAGAACTTTCTGCGAGGTGGAAAACTATGAAAGCAGATGTGAAAAGACCATTAATGATTTTTTCATTCAAAGGCAGGATTTTATTCTAGTGAATGCTTGGATTTGGGGATATTCTCTAATGGAACGCTTTGTGTTAAAAACAAAATGCTCAGGCATTGCGATTTCCTTTTAAATCGGTCGTATGCTAGAACACTTCTTTAAATATATACGAAAATGAAGCAGGATCCTTCCTCAGAGACCATATAGGGACCTCATCAGAAAAGCTATCCAAACGACTACACTTCAATAACCGGAATCGGTTACTCATCGTTCTTGTTCGTGGTTCTTTATACACCTCAACAGCACATACCTCGGCGTGCGTGTCTGTATAAAAACAGGAGCGGGACTCAAAAAGACGGAAAAACACTCTTTCTTCATCAAATCATCCGCTAAACATTCGATTGTTCATACTTTTTGCTACGACGTCATTCTCGACTGAAACAACCACCAGCACGTGGTACAGCCATTTATATAGTAGGGCGTCAGACTCGAACAGACTACAAAAAACTCTTTTCTGATCAAATAATACTCTTCAAAAATCCATTGTTCATACTTGTTACTCGTACCTGAATCTCAATTGAAATGACCACGAGCACGTGGTGCAGCCCTTTATATAGTAGGGGGTGAGACTAAAAAAGACTAAAAAAGACTCCTTTTGATCAAATAATACTCCTCAAAAATCTATTGTTCATACTTGTTAATCATAACTGAATCTCAATTAAAATGACCACGAGCACGTGATACAGCCCTTCATATAGTAGGGGGTGAGACTTGAATAGACTAAAAAAGACTCTTTTTTGATCAAATAATACTCCCAAAAAATCTATGGTTGATACTTGTTACTCATACCTGACTCTGAACTCAAATGACCACGACCACGCTGTGCACCCATATATATACGGTAAGGTGGGCCTGAAAAGACTGAAGGGAAGGCTTTTTAAAGGTCAAGTAACAGTGCTGTAAAATCGATTTTTCGCACTTGTTACTGAAGCCTTGTACTCAAGCGGCATGAGGGTTGATAGGCGGTGCCGCCCTATATTTAAAGTACGATGAGTCTCAAGAAGACCGAAGGGAAGACTTTTGGTAGGTCAAGCAACGGTGTTTGAAAATCGATTTTTCTTACTTGTTACTCACAATGTGCACTGAGCTCGAATGAGGGTGGACAGGAGGGGTACCCCGATGTATAGGATAAGGTGAGTCGGAAAAGACTCAGAAAAGACTATTTTTCGGTTAAGGTACACTGCTGGAATGCCCGTGACTCTTTCTCGACTTTGTAGAAACGCAACTTTTGTTAGCTGTCAACTAGTATACGCCATCATGAGAGTATGTTATTGATATTCAATAATAGAAATTCGCCGACATTAACGATCGTTTGCGACGAAATACAATAACAAATGTTGATTCTATATCGAACGAATTACAATAAACAAAGACGGTATATCGCGATATTATGCGATGAGCGTATACAATCGGCATATTGTTACAGA